TTTTTTGTGTTTTATTTTAGCCTAAGGGTTACTGACTATCGAATCCAGGATTTGTGAGCGAGGCGCAGCGTAATGTGATCATGGCTCACGCGAGCAGCAGAACCTTCATCAAGCACTATCGACCACGACGGCATACTGGTTTGCAGGAGGTCATGTGCGGAATTGATCCGGACGAGGAACTTTCGCGAGCTGTAACTCGGATGAGCCGATGGATTGACAAGAGGCGACCCCGATATCTAAGCGACGCTGAGAAAGCGTCAGTGGAGAAGGATCCCGAGTTGCAATCCGCAATGCGAGAGCAGGTCGAACTGGAGGACCGTTATGCTCGAACCGGCGATCCAGCATTGCGGGCCTTGTTGGAACAACAGAAGCGCAATGTTGACAACACACGTCGCCGTCTTCGGGAGAGACGGCGGAAAGAGATCCGCCGGGATTTCAGTCGGAAACAAGCGGTCATTGATATCGAGAGGCAATTAACAGGCGGTGCTGTGAATGACGAACCTGCCCGGGAGGTGTTACGAAAGGAATTTGCCATGCCACCGGAGCAGATCTTCCTTGTGGAGACGTTTTTCACCTGGCCCACATCAGACTCGTTGGAAGACGAATGGGTGAGGCGCAATAAAGCCACGGCGGCGGCCACACAGTATTGCGGTTTCCGTGAGGGGGGCCCTCTCCGCGGACGGCCGAAACGTCCTGCATCAGACGATGAAACTCAAGTCGCAGACCCACCGGCTAAGAAGCAGAAGACGCAGAAGCGTCCGACTGTATCGGCATGGGAGAATAAGCTTGCTGCCATCAAGGAGAAGGTGGCAGCGGAGAAACCATCTGCGTGTTTCCAATGCTTGAAAGAATACTCTGACGTTTACGGAGTGAAGAGACACTTTAAGACATTGCATCTGCAGGATCGCAAATGCAACTTCTGTGATCTGTCGCTACAGCATGAGATGCACCTGCGGAGGCATGCACAGGATGTACATCGGCTTCTTACGTGAGCGTTATCCTTGCGCTACTGTGGGGTCCCTCCTAATGCTGGCTGATGGCCATCAACTTGCTACAGATGCTATTCAGATGGTGGATTCAGAGGAGCTCATTCCTAAAGAGAGAGTGGCACGATACAATTACCATAATTAGACGAATCGTTTAGAACTAGCTGCACCTAGTAGACCTGGGCAACCCAGTTTCTTCCCATTACTTTTCTTTGGGTGAAGTGCTAGTAAGACATCTCATAGATATTGATCTTTGCCATGTTTAGGTCGGGTTATTAACCTTTGAAGGCTATCAAAACCTACACTTGATGAGTAGACAATAACGGATGGCATGCGTGAAAAAAGCGCTCACTCCGAATGCTGACGAAAATGTACAGATTATGGCCATCAGGTCGCAGGAGTGTAGATAGAAGACCTGAGGGGTCTTAAATTTGCTGTAGCCGCCGATTGTCCAGTCCTAGGCCCGCCCACGATCTGCTCAAAATAGCCAGAATCCGCAACATGATGCACATTCTCCCCAAACTCCAGTTTGTTATGACGAGATACTGCAAATCCTTTAATTGACCCCTTGGAAACCTATGTAGCAGAATTAAAGGGAGTACGAACAGACCGGTGAGTGAGGCACTAAGGCGTCATCAGAATTGAATACCTGGAAAGCTTGAGACGCTAGCGCTCAGGATGTAACCGCCATTCTCACGTGATATCTAATTTTAGAGCCAATCAAGGCTGATTATCTTCACACCCCCCATCTCCAGTATGACTGAGCTGAGGCAGCTGCCGACATTGGTTGAGGGAATTCAAAGAGTAAAGTGAGGCTGTCCAGGAAGAAGGTAAGAAAGACACCGTTATTCAGAAAGTGCGCTAATAGCCACTCTTCTTCGCTATATCGATTCACTTTGGTGAACTTCTACTCATGCCTTCTTTTGTCCCGGTCCCCCCTTCACCACTTAATATCCAACAATCACCAAGCCCTCCGTGGGAACAGCTTCTACAAATATAATCATTAGCCACACAGATACCTTTTACTTCACAAAATGCGATCAGCTTGGGTAATTGGACAATGGCAGACCGTATAAACCCAGCTCATGTATATGTACCCTAAGCCAGACAGGAAATCCTTACATGGTAGCAACTTACCCCGCTTCTTGTTACGTGGCAGAGCACGCGAGTCATGTTCATGATACCCATGCTCCTAGCCTCTATACTATAATCCTTCTATCTCTCTTTCTTTATGCTCTTGTGCTTTCCTTCATTTTCACTGCCAGCGTACTGCTTAGAGCTCCACGATCTCTATCGCAATCATAATTCCATCGCGTCTGGAACTTTGAAGCTCTTGTCTTTATCCTTCTATCTTTTGCGCCCCATTCGGCTCTTATAAATATGGATAACGACACACAACAAAATGGACACAGGTGGGAATTTACGCCTGTGGCGAATCCCTCGAGTACGTATTTCGAGCGCCAATTCGATATCAGAGATTATATGGCTCCCAGTCGAAAAAGCTTTGGCAAGATGGAACTAGAGCTACGACCCCTGGCTGTAGAAGAGCCCGTGGATGAGCCATATCCCGGTTCTCAACTGGAACCTGAGCCTGAGCCTGAACCAGCACGAGAGCCAGAGCCAGCGCCAGAGCCCAAACTGCCTGACGACCCTCACTATAACAACTGGGATAATCTCAGTTCTAAAGATAGGAAAAAACGAGAGAAGTCGCTGATTAAGAGAGGGTTGCCTATTCCTGGAAAGGATTTTGACTGGCCTCCACCTCCACCTCCACTGCCGGAAGCTGTACGGGAGGAATTTGTACAGGAGGAGCCTATACAGGATCCTGAACCAGCGCCAGCACCAGAGCCAGAGCCAGCGCCAGAGCCAGCGCCAGAGCCAGCGCCAGAGCCAGCGCCAGAGCCAGCGCCAGAGCCAGCGCCAGAGCCAGCGCCAGAGCCAGCGCCAAAAACAGAAAGCCCGAGGCCAACCTTGTTCGCTCCTCAATCAGACAGAAGTCTCTGCGTACAAAATGTAGCGACAGGATCCAACTTTCTTCTTTCGTTGTTATCTGAGTAAGTGTACCGAGCCTTCTATATAGAGAAACGTGACTTACATGATAAAGCATCCGTGATAATGGTGCATTTTCGGACCTAAAGATTAAATGTGGATGGTCAACTTTTAATGCACATTGTTGTATCGTCTGTCCACAGTCCGGCTTTTTCTACAATGCTGCTAGGAATGGATCAAAAGAGATTACGATTACGGATCACCCCTTAATTGTCAAGAAGATGCTTGACTACCTTTATCGACAGGTCTATGACGACTACGAGCTCCTCAAAGAGGTAAAAGCCCAAAGATCCCAGGGGCAAGTGGATAGGCATGACGGCATTGCCACTATTCCTACATATGTGAATGCTATGATGTCTGTTACCGCTAACAAGTACGCCATCAGAGGGCTTAAGGACCTCGCCGAGAAAAAGTTGGTAGCAAATCTGATGCATGAGTGGAATGATGCGTACTTCATTCAACTGGTTGAATATGTCTATGGAGCAAATGCATCTGCAGATCCTAAATTGGAAGGTATTGTAGCGCAATTTGCCACCCGTCATATTTCCACTCTGAAAGGATTTCAGTCATTTCACGATGCCCTTCATATGTGGCATCGTTTCGCGTATTTATTCTCGCGCGAAATGATGGAACGCGTCATACAACTAGAGAAAGGAGTTGCATAGGCCTTTGCGTTTTTCTTACGCCCCTCTAGCAGTGATGCTGAACAAGTTTCTCCGTTGGTAATAGACGGTCGTCATGTTTTACCTGTAATAGACAGATGATACATGTATCAAAAGGTCTCACCAATCGAGCCATGGTAACCACTCAGGAGAATACCTGTAGTGACTAGGGGAACTTTCTGACAACAGGAGTGATATACTATAGAAATGTCATTGAAAGGTACCATTGATGTACTTAACTGTAAAGAATATTTGTCGTTACTGCTAGAAGCTCGAGGCTTTTGCTCAAGTTACCATGGTGGCTACTGAAAAAAAGCATTGGAATAATGCTCCAGCTCAATTTTTTTTTCTTATCACGAGAACAATTTTTAAGGAGTAGAGCTCTGACCTAATTCATTGGGCTCTTTTAACATAATAAACAGTTTAGTCTTCTTCATTACATTGATTCGCTTCCATGAAACTACGTATTTACCTCCTCTTTCCTCCAGGTCCCTGCTTCACGATATCCCACAATCACCAAGCCCTCCGTGAGAATACTTTTTACGGCATAGCATCAAATACTATACGTACCAGGCTTCTCGCTTGAATCGACGCATAATTCACTACTGGGAGACCTAAAGATCGAAGTCCGTTTTCGTTTGGCTTTAAAGGCCGCCCGCAATGATCCGAGGGCAACACCTCCCGAGTACTAAATGTGCCAGGACCTCATAAGATTCGCTATGGATAAGACAAGAGAAAGGATACTGGCGCAGTAGGTCTAGGGCCGAGGGCAAATGTATCGGACAGTAGGACATCCGTAAAGCATACATGTCTGGCCGTCCGAGTAATCTGGACATATCCGAATCCACTACCCTCATCGACAACAACTGCACAAACGTTTGGTGATCGTTCGTATTTGGATACGTTTCCCCAAAGAGTGATCATGACTCGATACCTCTCTATCCTCCCAGTGGTTTTTAAGATATCTGAGTGTGGAAGAGCCTTTCTATGCGGAAACCCATCTCGCGGGAGGATTCGAAAGCTTCCGCAGCGGATATCTCAAAGAAATGGAGGCCACCTAAGTCACGGCAGGATACATTGACAGTTCTTTCTATGTTGTATGCAAATCTCATTCGTCTGTGGAAACCAAAATTTTTTTTCTGGAGCAATCTTCGCACAGAATTAACTTATTCCTCCAGTATTATACATCGTGGCTTGAGTGAGGGGCTGTTTCTGCCTGGATCTGAGAATAAATGGAAACAGCTTGATCGTATGTTTCATGTGAGGTCCAGCCATCCCTGCTCATGATTCCTGATAAGGCGTCCCAAAAGTCTTGTACTTCATTCCAGCCTTCACTATCCTCATAATGTTTGCTAATTTCTTCAGGAGAAAAGTTGATGGGGCACTCAACCGTACGGCCTAGTGAACTCCACTTCCTTCAAACATCGTTCAGTAAGCACAATTGGTCAAATATGCAGGATTAGCTCACAACTTACTTCTGTATCCTTATTAAAGACTCTCGTAGTGGTAAGATATCTCCATCCCATGTATTCCCAACAAAGCGAATTGGATCTGTTAGTGTCTTGCCATTTGGATACTGGAACACTCTGCTCAAAATTGGATTTCTCTCGGCCGTATATTTCTCATAGAGATATAATAGGATCGAGTTGGTGACTTTACCCTTAACAGCATTTTGCGTATTTTCATCCAACTGCTTAAAGTTTTCAGGTAGTTCGAGTATCAAGTCACCGTTATAATCGAGAAAATGAGGATGACGGCCTTCTAGGAACAAAGGACCAGCTGATGTGCTTTGCCAGTCAATGATGCTAGTGATATGACCACTATCGTCGACAAAAATATTAGGAGTGCGAAGGTCTGGGTGCCATAAGAATGACCCTAAAATACTTTCGTCCTGTGGAATCAGATGTGGAGCAGTAGATAAATATCTCTGGAGAAGAGAAACGTGTTCAGCAGGATCGTTCTGGCTATGGGAAACGAATAACGGATCATCTGGAGAACGCGGGGTTGCATGTTTCTGGATCCAAGCTATCTCTCGAAGGGCAAAAGCCTGTATATAGTCAACCGCAGAAGCCCCTGTATACCGTTATCAGCTTGATCGGCGACGAGAGATTGATGAAACAGGCGTACATGGTCCACGATAAATATCCATATCGCCTCGTCCTTTACTCCAGAATTCTGTGTCTACTGTCGGCCCAATAGAATACTTCTCAGCAATTTTATGCTTAAGTTCATGCGACAAGTTGTCTCCTTCGACTATTGCAGGGTGAGATCCAGGAGGTGCATCTTCCCTGTAGAAAAGGCAACCATATCTGCTCAAGTTATAAGGTATAAATAATTTCGCATCTTAATCATAGGGATAAACATACTCTGAGAATTTCAACGATAAAAATTTGTGTTGGATGGTCACTATATCCTCCATCGTCTGAACCTTACATTCAAGGTCCATGTCTGTCCAAACATCTGCGAGATTTCTACCGGGGGCATACTCCATGATGATGTACTCAGCCCCTACACGGTTCGTAGAGTCAACTGCAGAATTCCATGCAAGAACTTTGGGGACTGGAAGACAGAGTATGGTTCTTAACTAAAAGTTATGTCAGATCACTAAGATGCAAATCTAGATATGGATAATTAACATGATCGATGGTAAAATCTACTCACAAAGTCCATTGTGGCAACCTCGGACGCCGTTGTCAAGAAAGCTGGCCCAGCATTCGGATTTGGAATTCGAGCAACAACTGTCTTCCCATTGCCCATAGTAAGCTTGAACGACTTGTTGTATGACCCTTCCCCTATCTTTGCCATACTAACACAGGATCCAGAAGATGATGATTCCATAGCAATTTTCTGCATCTCAAGTATATCAAATTCGCGATACCTCTCTCGAAGTTGCTGCCTTTCATCCCAAACCCATCGTCCACTGGTATAACTAAAGAAATCCCGTGGATCCCCGACAATATTAGCCATCCGAAGCTGAGAGTGTTGATAGGAATAATGTCGGCTTGAGATGGGTAATAGAGTGGTCTCTCTCGACAATACTGGCGAAATACTCCGAATCCCTTTTAACATGCGTGAGAATATAGGCATGATTATTGAAAACTATCGGGTGATCTTGGAAAGATTATCGCAGGAGGCGTAACTTTCGGTTTGGTAGGCGGTCCCCTTGCGTATTAGTCATCACCTCTGCGTGCTGTGATAGATTGCCCCACATATACCACCTAACGAGTTGTTACGTTAGGAAAAGTTGCTGAGGTGTGCCTCTGCCTAAGGAAGCTAGGGTCCGCTCACGAGTACCGACCTGGAAGTCTCGGACGTTTTCTCTCCTGGAGCCGTAACCCAGGACATATTTACCCACCTCTGAATTGTGAGAGGGAATTACTGTACCGTGTGGATCACAGATCCCGCAAACCTATGGGTATATCCGAAACCAAGCCGCAAGGCTGCCAGACCAACAACCAATCATTGTCCCAGGCTTTTTACGTGGTGGGGAACTCATTTGAAATATGGATAACTATTGCCTTTCCTGTAGTCTTGCGATGCCGTCTTCAAAAGACTATTCTCGTATTTTCACCAACCACTTCTCCCGTCACAAGGTTGAATGTTTTAGCTTATGTGTCATTCATGCATTATCTATTCAAGCGCTTAGAATAATTACTTCATTGGTTCCTCGCTAGGCAACCAAGGAACAATGTGAGACGACCCTTTAAATTCACCTTTTACGTGGTTAATAGTGACTACTTAATTCGTTATTGAGATATTGATACACTGCGCACGCGCTGTGTGCCACTGCCTGCATGAGGAGGTAGGACACGTTCTCTTACCGAGAAATGGCGTACTTGAGTTTGCGGAACTTCTATATAAATGAGTCGATGTGCCTTTGTTCTGAACATAGCCACCGTTTCCTGCAGTATTTTATTTCTCCATTTCTTACCTTTTGGACCACACTATCATTGACTACATTCAATAACCGCCCTATTGAACATTGCGTATGCATATATCAACCCCTTTGAATACATAATACTGATGGGTATAGCATCGTCCAAGTATGGGTATCGGTAGCAAGAGTGTGAAGACATTTGTCGCAAAGGTCCCATGGTCGAAAGTAATTGAAAAGGCTGGTGGGGCAAAGGACAGGGGAGATCGTCTGTGGCCCTCAAGGAACTCTAAGAACGATTCGACCCTAAACTTTCGCCTTGACAAAGGCTCCACCGATTCGAAGACCGGCAATATCGAGATTATACTTCAAGCAAACAAAAATGCCGAGGATCCAGAGGTCAAAAAAGCCGCACAAAAGGATAGCGACGCTATTTTGGGGAAGGTGCTCGTCGACCCCAAAAAGCCCAATGCTGAAGAGGCAAGGAGCGCACTCATTGCCTCATTTAAGGAACGCAACTAGGATGCTATTTCATTATTATGTTGTGGTCCGCAGATGTGATATTTGGAATATGAGGGGATAGTGTCTCAGAGTATCATTAGCCGAAGACTTCGCAATCAACTTGCTCATGCCGCCCACAAGTGCTTAGCCTGGCCAATGTCAGAACCATTTCATAGAATAAAAGTCTTCCCATTACGTATCAATCTTCGTCCCTTCTACGACTAGCTAGCCAAATTGATCACTACCAATTAAACATGTGACGTTCTCCTGGATGGCTGCAGAAAGTTATACTGTCGAGATTCGCGAACTCGGTTGTTTATAAACCATCCTACACCACTGTTGAAAGGTGCCTGTAAAGTGGTATTGCAATAAGCCAACGGGCTTCTAGCGCTTCGGAAGTACCACATATGATATATCTGGCCAACGCTCACGTGAATTTGAGTGCCCATATTGGCTGAAAAATAAAGCGGGAGCAACAGTCCCCGACCGATCATCACGACACGGGGCAAGGGTAAAGTCTCGAGCTTTTCTGGCTTGTGTTTACAACAATAAGGCTCTTGGAGCTGATGTGGTTTTGCTATATGCTCTTGGAATCAGTGTCACTAAATTGGGAACAGTGAACTCTCTATTGAAGCGATATATGTGATAAGAAAATGGTGGAGGCAAGCTGAATATCCTGTTGGATTAACGGCAACGGCGAAAGACCATGTCTTAAGTCACCACTCCATATATACCATCAGCAAATAGTTACCCCAAGGTAGGTTGGGCAAACAAGCTTTGTCAAGGAGGAGAGATCGATGCGACAAGGTCATTACTTAGATAGCCACGGAGCTCATGGTTACCAGCCATGTCTCTGGGGATGGATTGTCAGAAGAATCACATCATCAGAAAGCATGAGAGAGCAACAGCAACAGGAATGTGGGCAGGTAAGCCCAGCTATTCTCAGCAACAATTACCACGTGACTATCTAAACGTATGGAAGCAAAAGAAGTCCCAACTAACCGAAATGTATTATATTAGTCAGCAGTTATCGCGATAACGTAATTCCCGAGCTAGAGGGTCACCCAGGCGGTTAGTTTGACCAGATTAGCTCAGAACGTTACTCAATTTGAGAACTTACCCTTGCATTCTTGTCAGCAGTTCCGCAGTGCCCTTTCCTGCCCCTCCTTGCCCCTCTGCTACCCAGCGCGTGCCTAACTTGACTCGACGTGAACGCAACCTGGGATTCTTTCATGACTTTTCTGGAGAACGTGTCTGTGGTGAGCAACAATTTGTTTTGGGTTTCATTTTATTGAACACAATGGTTCCTATTGTCATTTCTAATTTACACGTAGAATTTGTTTTACGTTTCATTTAATTGTGCTGAAGCAAGCATTACAGGCCGATTTCACCCAACCTTTTTTATACCACATATTCCAAGTTTTTCAATCCTTTCAGAATCTGGAACGAATATCATAATTACTGGCAATGGCGAGGGCGAGAAAATTCAAAAGTCACGAAACGGGTGATAAGGATATTCTTTCCCTCTATACAAACAATGTATGCTTTCTTATTTTTCTACACCATAATCCAGAAGGGAAACTGGCATCACTAATTGAACTGTTAGGTAAATAATATCGACTGCACTATTGAGTGGTTCTCTCCGACGAACAACGTTAGAACAAGTCCCAACCCAGGCACACTAGCTGTTGTGGTGGACATTGGAAGCAACGCAGGGGCAGTCAGAATCCATGAAATAGATGGTGGAAAGTTTGTTGATGGTGTAGGAACGGAAGAGTCTGGAAAAGTGGTCTTAGTGCCTTGGGATGGCGACTGGTATTACTACACGATCGGGAAAATCAGACTGGGATATATCCGAAGATCGAATGGATCTGACAGCTAGGATAAATGTGCTTCACTGCAGCTCTTAAACACCAGGTTCAGAGGAGAAGTTTATTTGCAGACATTGTGTCGCAAACCTGTCACTCATCTCTTGAGAAATCGGGATCGTGACGAAAGGCGGGAAGTTCATATTGTATGTGTTTGTTAACCATATTCCACCCCGGATGTGGTCGGACATAGTAATTGCTTGGGCATCTTTGATAGTGAGTTGATATACGGCTCCTGTAAGCGAATCTGTGCGGTCATTAACACTTGAAACATGGCAGAAATAAAGTTAGCATACCAGTTGACGGTATGCTCATGGTCGGTATTTCTGCCTGTCGCTCTTGAACACCATCCACTGTGCTTCCCAGCGAAGTATTATCGCCACCGAGCGGTTCAGGTCTTCGATCTGCCTAGAAGTTAACTTGGTTCCCATGTTGCGTGCACAATGACCACACCATCAACAAACTTTCGTTTCAAAGGCCGAAGTTCAATACGTTCTGACATTGTTAGTGACTAATCACTCGGAATCAACGATGTTATGCTCACGCTTGAGGAATTCCTTTAGTAACCTACTATCATCATCGTCATCAACTTCGAATTGTTGATTGATCACTCTGTCAATGTCTTTCCGATACATGTAATCGTTAAGATTGTGTTGCTGTATGAACTTTTCGATATTGTGTACAACAAAGTCAAACTCGGGAATCCTCATCTCATAGAGTGCCTTCACATTGTAAGATATGCCCAGGAAAACTAATGAATTGCATGTGAGACGTCTTAATTTCTCCTGTTTTTCTTTTTGGCGGCTTTTTTGCTCAAAAACAAACTTCATAAGATGCTTCACACGAACAGCTTGCTGCCTTGGGAGTGGCTGGTCTATCGGCTGCTGTTTCAATAACCTAGCATTTTCTTGGAGGACTTTCTGTACCTCGAGTTGAGTCTTCAGTTGCAATACCTTCTTGAGTACGTTGTCGAGTGGCTTATCCACTTGGCTGTATCTCCATAGATCAGACATTATCCGGCCCAGCGTTGATTCAGCTATTTCGTAAACACATGTAGCCATAGCTCCTAGAAAAGCAGACGATTGACTCAGTCAAGGTTGAAGGAGATATCTGGCTAGGTCAAGCTAAGGTAAATAATCGGGCTTCGTTTCTGGAGGGAATGATGAAGAAGAAAGTGGAGGTAGCGGGGTGTCCCTGCCTCTCTTAAGTGAGGAGAATTTCCCTGGCTTACGTCAGACGAAAATCAATCTAGCATACTTTTAGATCTCCATGGGAGAATCCCCGCAAACTACCAATCAGAACCCGTCAACTCTCACAACTAGGGTGTATTATCCTTGTATCTGCTACAAGTCACATTTTATCCTAACCAAGTGCAGCTGATTGTCCACTACTTATTATATAAGCCAGGAGAATTCCTCTCTCTCAGATTACTCAGAGAATCTAACCCTGCCCAATCTGGTCGGGATGGTCATGCCTCTCATCAGATCACATTCAATATATCCTAAGGCCCAGCCATATCTATAAAGATGCCAGCCTTATCCCAAGGGCTCACCGCAATTTTGCACAGACACATATCCCCATTAGGGTATTTTCCTTGAACAGGTATTCCAATTATGTGCATCCGTCGAATCACGTCTTTTTTCTACGCCTTCCTCTGCTGCCTGGGAGGATGTGGAGAATGCGAAGAGTCCGATGAGGAATGCGATGATCTAACTTCCTTTGAGGGTGAGATGCCCATTGGGGCAAGGATAGAAGCTGTGAGTATCAAGCATCAGTGAACTTGGAAAGGTCTAACATAGGCATACCGGTAGATGACCGTTGTCAGATATGTCAACAAGGACAACTCCATTGCCATAACCCACACTGTTGTGGAGACTACTCACATTGACCCACAAGCGGATTGTGGCTCTGGCCAAGATATGGGGACCAAGAGTTCCATTCCTGACGATGCGTCGGACGCAAGTACTCTCGTCGAAAATCCCGAGACAGCGATTGTACCATCTGCATCTTCCTTCCAATCAGATGAGAAAATCATCATAGAGAAGGATACCGAGATCGTCTTACCTTGTCCAACATTTGTCGATAATTACACTGGTTGTCGTATGGTGGAGCTGCGCTATGTTACTTCTATGTACCTTGATCCTATCGTTATACCTCTTGACGATTGTGAGTTCAATAAGTGTGAATCCAGCGAATCAGACTCGGATGATGATGAGGTTGAGGCGCTGTTCCGCTACAAAGACCTCAAGTTTTGCGCGCGCGTTTCGTTTGGTTATGTAAAAGCCCGCGCTGAAATGGATCCTGCTGTAGTCGACTGACCTCATTGGGTTGATTATTCCCTGATTCCTTGCGTCTGTCTATTTCTTTGTCTTTAATACGTCTGTCAGCTGGGGGAGGGTAACTGGTTGGTTAGTTGCATACCACAAATGTGTATACGAAAGTTATCTGCCGAGAAACTAGCAGTGCAGATATATCGTACATGTAGTGATGATACGTTGGTTAGCTTGTCTCCGAATATATAAGACAGCGATACTTGTCCTTTAATATCCTCATCATAATAACCATGAAAAGCCTTATGCAACTGTTTTTAGTGCTCTGGCTCTTAGTATTTTTCATTCTCCATGTTACAAGGCCTTTCTTTAAGAGAAGATATTTTCCTGGTCCGGGAGCACGTACAATTCCTCAACATCTGCATGATGAGTAACATGAATCCTGTACGTTCTCACATAAGGCTGTTAAGAAGTTGGTTCCTAAGCCCTTAGAAGAACAGAAAACGCCAAAATACGGCTACAGAAAGGGAAGGACTCGTTCCAAGAAAGAGAGAAAGTTTTGAGAGAGACTACCAGATTGTAAGAAAAAGTTTTACCCGTCAGAAATATTAGCTAATATGTTGTAGCAAAAGGGTATCTCTTGTGAGACACAAGAGAAGGGTAAAAACGAGGATCAGCTTCCTTTAACATTTAAGAGGGCTAGAGAAAACCATCATAGCGGCCGGGTAGAGAAACTTCCACGTATGCGTGCGAGACGATTATGTTGTGCGTGTGAGGACGAACGGGCGGTCATAGGCGATAGAGGACGCTGTCGTGTATGCGGCCACGAAAGTTGTCCAGTGTGTCTTACATAGCCGAGCTTTATGCTACAGATTTATAGATTAGCCAGTAGTATCTTGCAATTCAAGTAATTGGTCAGTAGATACTCATAACTCTGATATAATAAAGTGGGACTGTACTATTACACTCCCCAGGGACGCCACGGCTGCAGCAGGAGCAGAATCCTGGTACACTAGACAAGGGATCAGTGAGCAAGTCTCTAGGCGCCGCACACCCAACTGCTACTTAACCTTCTCTGGCTTTATCGGTATTTCTTTTGTAGATCGCAATATCCTGAACCAAGTTGGTAGCTAGCTGTGTTAGGATTTTATTTCGCTGGACTGTGTAGAACGCGGTCGTATCGATGTAACGTGGCAAGTGTTGATCGCTGCATATCAAGTCCTGTTATCGACCGGCTTTCTATAATGTTATCATGCGGCCACTGAGTCTTGTGTAGTAACTGCTGATATTTGTTGACGAGTCAGGTAACATTCTCCGTCGTCGTGGACCCACGCTGTCCTATAAACCTACTTTATTGAGCAGAGAGCTGGTGAAGCGACGCCTTTTTTTGGCAGTAGAGAGAAATAAGCAGGAACGAAGAAGGGCAGCTCGATAACCCTTCTGGAAATTGGCTCTAAGCCAAGCCCCTGTCTAGGGTTGCCTAAAATGTTGCGGCCGGTTAGGAGGAGAATTTTAATTTACCTTTTTTGTCTTTCTACCGTAGAGCTCAAACCATCTGACAGCTTCGTGTACTTTTGCTTAAGGAGTAATCGTCGATATTTAACCTGCCTTATCACGTCTTATTTCTGGACCAGTTCCACAATCTTTAATATCTGAAACATTACCCTTCGACACCGCAGTGAACACTCGATACTTAAAGTCCATGACAATATGTCTACAGTACCCAGTGAGTATCAATTTATGGAAAGGTGCATGGTTATGTTACGCTAATGAGTATTGCACAGGCCTCCGTCGGGTAATTCCTGTAGGGAATGTGGATGAAATACGAGAGGCTCGAAAAGAGCTCCTCAAGAGGCTGTCTACTAAAGAACTAGCTCATGTTGCTGCGTTATTTGGACAGGCTAGGTGGACAAGGGCTGGTAGGCTTGTTTCAGGGCTAATATCATCTGCCAAGAACTTCTGCTGATTGCTAGTAGACTGTTATAAATATATTATGAAAGCCCTCGACGATATTGCCGGAGACTCTCTGCGCAAGATGGTACAAGAGTTACAAGGATCGAGATGCAAGCAGTTGGTAGATGTCCTTATCTCAGTGGCGGAATATGAAAAGAAATCCCGAGACGGGCTGCTTGGTGAGTAGATCTTCAATGAGTAGGTATAACACACATGCTAACAGAATAATAGATAGATCAAAATCAATTGAGATCCCAGAGATCTACCTTCCCCAGGACATACCAAACGAGGCAGTGCCATATAGCGGTAACATAAACGAAGAACAAGGTTCTTGGACGTTGGTGAGCCCCTGGGATTCTTCCCAGAAATTGACTTTCTACAGTCAGGAGACAGAGAAGACCCGTCTACAGTCTCGGCAAATGCTTGAAAAGTTAACATATGAACCTTTAAGCACACTTTTAAATTGCCTTTTGAGCTATATTGAACCACGTCTTCGACAGGTTTACTCTTATAAGCGTGGGATGGTCCCGAATTGGTGGCCTCGCACTATAAAGTTCAATGGCAAAAACCACTATAGCAAAGCCGGTAAGACTTGCCACTATAAATGTTATTCAGCCTCTGATATGTCTTGAACAGCGATTGTCGAATTGATAATTTATATTATATTCGACTTGCACTCAGAAGGGTTCCGAATTATCCATGCAATAGATGCGATAAAATTTCATCCCAAGCTCACCGTCAAAGCCAAGGAGATCGTATATTCAATACTGTTCGTTCGACAGGCAGAAGACTTATGCCGGGGGAACACGTCCAATACGGTTCCAAAAGCAGAGGTGGTAATAGGCAGGAGAGTTGCCCAAAGAGCACCGACAGACTCAGAAACCGAGTCAACTTTTATACGACAGTGTAGTGGAGAATCACAACCTTCCATTTTCACCAGAGGCACGCTTAAAAGGTCTTACTACATTCTCCTAGGAGTCAACGACCAAGGGAATATTTTCCAATCAGTATCGCAATCAATCAATCGTGATAACCTCAGGTTGTCGGCCGCCGTGGACAGTTTCAGGCAAGAGGTGTCCAGAGTGGAGGAGCAGCAGAGAGCTTACCTGTTGCAAGTCCATAATGAGTCGGAGCAAAAGGGTTGAGCCTCACTTTTTGACAATGGGAGGCTAGCTCTTTCTTTACTGTTCCAATTTTATTCTAAAAAATGGTAATTCCTGAATTCCACCTGCTTGGATTGGGCATCGCCTATCATACTAGTTTCTTTGTTTGTAGTCCTGGCTTCACGTGCTTCCTTTGCCGGTAATGGAATAACACTCGGCCGAAGACGGGAACTCTCTTTTCCGAGGTCCTAGTTTGCTTGGCTTGTTTGGCCGTGGAAGCGGTCGAGCAATGAAAGTATCAACGAACCTCTCAGGGATCACTGCACACCAGGACCTTCGTCCAGACAATATTCTGTGGAACGCCGAGCAAAACTGTGTTATGATTATCGACTTCCACTGTTCTCGACTAGACCCACGACCGGACAAAAACCGGCCACAATCGGCGAGGTTCAATTTTAATGTTGAGGCACGTGAGCGGAAACGACTTCGTATGCTCTGACACAAAGCGATGTGCTCAATGCAATGTGCTTCACGTGATCTCTACGATTTAGTGTTGGTCAATGAAATTGCCTAGTTCCAATTACACATCATAAGCAACCAATTATGAATATTTGATTTAAGTTATATACGGAACGTGTTCAATCAATAAAACGGGATCTGACGAAGCAGGTAAGACAAACAATGAGCCGTGGCCTATAGCTCCCTAAATTTCTTTCTCTTCTCTGAAACTAAGGGCTTTTCAGAAACAGCTCGCCTTTTGTGTGCTCTAGGACGTTCATGTAGCCTGGTACGATAGAGATACTCATTCAGCAGCCCTGGGGCCCACTGTCGAAGCTCATGATGGGAGTACCACTCTACGCTGAGGCAAAGGAATGTCAAACGCCCCTCTGGCATTGACCTGTGTGTGAGGATGGCCGTTATAGAGTCGGTCTGGTCACCAGATTGATTTATGGCGATGAAATTGGGCCGGTGATGATCATCGGTTTGGGTGTTCGCTGTGCAAGTTAAACAAACGCCCCTCCATTCAATAGGTACAAAGAAACATACCATCAAACAAAGTCCAGTTATTGATTCGTTCGACCGGGGTAAACATCATATTTTGCATGTATTTAGAACCATCGCTAACATGTTTACCAAGTAACGCCGCCGGTCCACCACTCTCGGTGGTATGCCCTAGAATGATTAAGTTTATTGCTCCATTTACAGCACAGAGTCATATACCTGTGCTTCACGCCGAACTCTCAGCTACCGTTGCATGTGAGACAACGCCTGGAATGCAGTCATCCTGGGTTGACGCCTGGGCTGCTGTCTCACCAGAGAATGGAGACTCCCCAGCTACACCCTCATGTACAGCGCCATGCCTGGTCATGCTGTGGCCCATGTGGCCACCCGAAGTCACCGAGACGATGTCATTTCTGAAAAGGTGGATCTGTTTATCGTCCTCCTGGTCGTAGCAGATATGACTCTGCGAACAATAGCTGGGAGTTTCCGGGATGGTGTCGCCATCCGTGTCACCAGGAGAATGGAGTCTGGTACAGGCTTTCTCAATATCAATGAAGATAGGATTACTTGCAGAACCCAACATAGAAAAGTCCTCCGGTCTTTCTATGGAGATGCAACGGTCATCCTCAAGGGAGTCTCGATATCTTTTTGTGGACGTCGCCATTGTAGAGATACGAGGCCAAGCTAGTCTATGAGGCAATGTTCAGGACATAAAGGTAGGTGTGGAAGAAGAAATGAAAATACAGAATGAATGATTGTCGGGGGAGTAAATGCCCTTATATGCCTGTTCGGTTTTTCGTCACAGGACAGCGTGACACACGATCACAGCAGATTAACCTCCGTATTCTGCGGATGTACATGCCAAGGCAGTGACTCGTTGAATGACGTTTTGCTGTGTTGGTGGATAGTGCAGTGGGTGCTGCACTATGTTGATATTGGACGATCTTACGAGCCATCACAGTAGACTAGCAAGGATAAGGCGCGGGTGACCTGGCGATACTGACTCGGAAGAACGCATGGACAGGGCCTAAGAATAGAACGCCTCGAAACCCTTGTTCTCGCAGCAGGTCGATGTCCGTGAAGGCGTCTGGTCAGGCTTTTGGTCTTGATCCACCTTATGATGCTCCAGTGCCATTCTTCGCACTGCAAGGCATCCAATCATATATAGATATAAAGTCATACAAGCCTCCATATTGCTAAAAGTGAGGAGACCTAGCGCGTTGAAAACACCTCCACCTGTCATCGCTCGCGATCATGGGAGACTTGTTCCTCGGCATTTGAGGTCAAGCTTGGATGGTCTTGCGAGAGGCAGTGACCTGGAAGTCCAAAGGAATCCGTGCCGCACACAAGCGAGGTCATAGCAACAACGACAAATACTTCCATCCCAACACCCCAACAACGACTATCAGTTGAGCCGATTGGATGCGAGGGATGGTTCTAACTCGAGATTATCTCGAAGGTTTCATGTAGCCTTGAGTAGGTGGGCACTACAGAGGGTGAAACAGAATTCAAAATAGCATCCCGGGCTGACCTTGATTGGGAGCCTGCTTTTTCTAAGCCACGAAGATAGGACTACTGGGAGCCGGCCTACGTAATGGTTATGTTGTGACGACCAATTGTCACAAGTATTCTCAACTCATCTACCGTACAGAGTATGGCCGAGTCAGCCTGCGGGGACGTCTGACCACACTTTCCTGTTGAGACCCAGCCAGCGATTCGTCCGCCAACAAGAGTATTGATCCAATCCCTGCCATTGCTGCAAGTTGAACATCCTAATACGACGAGTGATGGAGGGATACGTCCGGCTACCAATGGACATGTGGATCCAAGTCAGCTGCGCAAGGCAATAGACCGCTTTTCGCTATCCTAGGATGGTGGGATGGTGAGATGTCGGAAAGCCTGGTGCTAGCTCGCTTTTCGCTATCCTGGGATACTGAAAAGCCTGAACCCCCCCGGCTATAAAAGGTCCCTCGATTCCTGCCATTTCCTCACTTCCCAATCATCCTTACATCTCGCCTGTTCGATAATAGCTGTCTCGAAGCATTTTTAATTATGGCGTCCAATAGCATTAGCATTCAAGAGCTGGACAAATCCAATAAACCTTCCAAAGTTGAGGAGAAGCTGATTAGACTGCTCAGCGAGTTCGTTGACATGATTGCTTCCGATGCAAACGTTGATCTCGGTTGTACACCGAAGGTATACTGGAATCCACGACGAGAAAAGTACCTTGGGCTGATCGAAGTAGTTCCATACAGTCATCCAGCAGCTGTGCGAAAAAGCCCCGGAGGTAGCACGGACCATTGCCAAAACGATGCAGGAGAGCATTACAAATTCCCGTGGACGCAAGCGCAAGCTAGCTGAAGATCCTTCATACCGCCCAGCAAAGTTAAGAAGACAGAGAATCGGCTTCCCAGCCAGCATGTCCGAGCAGAAGCCGGAATCCGATAAAGTTCTCGGAGGCTCTACCAAGTCACACAACGAACACCTATTGAAGCCTTCACCGTCGCTTCATGATCTTCATGACCATTCATCTCAGGCCGGCGGCTGTGGTGAAGAAGGGAATGATGTATTACCTGCAGGAGTTCTAGCCACAATGGCAAGCAAAGCCCTTGCCACAAGTTCCGAAGAGCCATTGCGCCGCGCCTCACCACAGTCAGTGCCATACACAGAACCTACATCTTCCAAGATTACAACCGTTACTCCTACAAAACAAACCGAACGTCGTTTATCTTCACCTCAAACGGAGGAAATCCAGCGGAAAGCAATCCTGACATCACTTGAGAGTATTACTTCAACTGGACAATCCACACGGATGAGATTGTTCCCGAACCGACGCTCCATTATAGACTTGACTATCAAAGCCACCCGTACTATCTGCCACCTTAGCAAACATAAGGATGGTGTTCCCTCAGATGTACATAAACGAGTCCTTCAATCGCTGCAACAAGCCCAACTCGGAGTGAGCGCAGAATGTACCCACCAGAACCATTGGTCGGATGGTTCGATGTGGGTACAGGTACTTGAAATGGGGGAATCCCGAAAAGACCGAGGCACTATACAGAACATGCTCGAATACATAGGAGCTTGGGAGTGGTACAATACTCAGTTGGAGCTTGCGAAGAAAACAGTCACAACAAAAAAGAATAAACCAGTTAAGCAGCGGGGCGCAGCAATGCATGTAATGGACCAAATACAGAACAGATGGATCGGTGGAGTGGGAATAGTTACACTACAGGAAGGTAACTCCCATTATCTATCGGGAAGTGACCCTGCCAGTATATCTGCGGAGGAAAAACATTTGCAACGAAACCGGATTAGCATGCAGCTCAATAGAGGCAAGTTGTGTTCCAAACTCGTTAAAGAACTGGGGCTTGGGATATTGTTCGATGAAAATATCTGGTAAGCTGCAAGAAAACATTGATATCTTCGGCTACTAATCGGTGGTAGGGCCTATGTGAAATCGGGTATGGAAGAGGTTGATAATATAATAAAGGCTATTCAAGCCGACGCAGGACACATGAAGCTTCTTCAAATTTTGGCCCCACAGCTAGAACACCTTGTCAAGATTGGGTTACCAGATCTTCACATTTTCTACAAGGACTTGAAAGAAGCAAAGCTACTGTCCGAAAGTGAGCTACGTCAACTGGAAGGACGTTTTGCTCTAGAAGGGGTAGGTACATAGCCCACAAAAGCCAGAGTATATATTAACATTATTACTGAAGGACCCCCTGCCTGACAGTCAACTTGAGGCAGAGATTGATCGTCTTATCAGAGACGTCAACATAAAGGTGCTTGATCAGACCACATTTGGACGTAATGATACGATTGCAATTAACAATGGTATGGAGATACCATGTGATATCTTCGACCGACTTCGCCCGGGCAGATGGCTGGATAGTTGGACTATCAACGCTCTCATGCAAATCTCCGATAAGCCCGCGTTTGTTAAGCATGATCTAAGCATCCCGTTAGACCAGAAGAGTGGTAATAATGTTCTTCGGCCGATCAAACATCCGTTAAGAGCCTGGGCCACGAAGATAGCTAAGTTTCGGGAAGAGGCCAGGAAAGCCTCTGGGGAATTGGTCCCTTTGGTTTTTTTCTGCCCAATCAATCATAAAGGTCAACATTTTTCGTTGCTCGAGATCAACGAACGAGAGAAGGTTATACGCCATTACGATTCGATGGCTAAGGTTACTACCAGGCTCCGCATGACCGAAGTAGTTGAGGAGCAATTTGGCGATTTAAAATTCCCCTACGAAGAAGTGGTAAGAACCCACGGCTACGAGTCCCTTTCAAAGCACTAACATAATGGCATAGCCTACTCCACAACAGGACGATGGCTGGAGTTGCGGAATCAGGACGGTTTGGAACTTTCGGCACTTATCGAATAATCTCCCAATTGGATCAGGCGATACCGTGCTGAACCCCGAGCGGATGATGCTAGAAGTGGTAGAGGGGCTGACAGCCTGCGTGGAGAGTGGCGCCATGACGAAATATATTCGACGAAGACGCTCAGACCGAGAGAAGCGACCACCGACTTGAATACATGTTTGAGCAATTAGAACCGAACTGGAAAGCAGATAATCATGGCTTATACTGGAGAATGTAAAGTAGTACAGCTGGTTGCAAAATAATGTAATATTTTTTACTCCTGTCAACCAGCTCTCCTTACCAAAGCCTTTTGTAGCCACCACGTAACGTAGTCGTTGCTTATCGTGAAGGAGTAGACCGCGTAGCGATTAAGACGATTGGGGCGAACACTGTCAAGAGAAGAAGGTAAGAGTAACATAAAATAAGGGAAAATATGTTAGACAAGAAAGACCTGGCATAAAACAATTATTCAAGGCCTTGGAGGAATTGAAACTCCCCTTGTTACAAGTACAAAGAGCTAGAGTTGATTAATTAACTATAAGCCAATCAAGTTATATAAGGAACGGGATACCCACTAAAGCTCAAAAGCCCATTGAACCCTGGCTATCCAAATCTACGGAGAGGATACGTATTCGGTAGAACAGGTCTTGGGCGAAGCATTGATTTGAGGGAGTACAGGAGAAATCATTTATTATAAAAGCAAAAGAAATGAAAGTCACTTTAGGTATGGCGTGTCGCAGGGATCTCCGCACCCTATGCACAAAGATTCTCTATCCCATATCATAAAATTTGACAGTATGAGACAATCGCCAGGCGATTTTACTATGGATGATCAACCGTGGCCGTCCGTGAGGACGAGAGGCCCTCAGGGCCGCAAATACAGTAACCATATCTGTTAACCATGGCATACCGTAGGATGGACACCCCCATATACCAAGAAAACCCGCAGGGCATTATAGCTTCTGTAAATCTCGGTAGGGTCTCTTGGAGTCTATGATAAGTGTAGACCTTCATGGGGTCAGTATTTCCCTGGGGCTAAAGCGACCGCAGGTTGTGATAATTTTGATAGAAACGTGGCGTCCCACAAGGGCAAAGCTTTCCTGCGGATACTATCTTCACACGGTTTTTTTAAGTCTATAAAAGAGTGGCTCTACGTAGGGTTGAACGGCCCATGGGCTTGAAATGCCCATAGGGTGCTCGCGAATATATAAAAATGTGGCTTACCATACGGCCTATATCTCCATGCGCCTAAATTAACCATAGGGGTTAGACAGTTCCTCGGAGTTGTGGTGTTCCACAGGGCTAGAGACTCCATACGTTCCCACCGCCCCCAAGGTGCTCATGGCTACGAAGAAGTGTGGTTCTCCGCGAGGACTAGCCATCCGCATGCCAAGAATCCTCATGGGGCGCTTATTATGTTGCACAACATGGCCCTTCACGGGGAGAAATTTCCCATAAGGTCGAAACTGTCACGGGGTGTGCAGAAATCGTAAAAGTATGGCTCACCACGGGAAAGCATGGCCCGCCACATGGTCTTGAACGCCGTGCGCCTAAAATAACCGCAAGGAACCCTATATTTGGACAAATTATAGCTCCTCACAGAGCGCGTAATGAATTTTTTTTTATTGTGGTGTACCACAAGGCTCAAAATACCCTATGCTTTAATTAGATTGCCCTCGTATCTTATCTGGCAACACGAACGGCGTCAGTTTCCACTGTACATTATGGCGTTCCACATGATTTATCGTACCATAAGGTTTGGCCGGTACGCAAGGCATAAGGCGGTGCGGATATTGTTCTTCGTTAAAGAGCTTGGAAAGCTACAAAATCAAAAGCGTGAGGTAGTGACTACCATAATTGTGTAAATAAAGTGGCTAAGATACATATAGAGCTGGACCCAGGCATTTACACCAACAATTCTCTCTTGCTTATATTTGGTAGGGAATAATCACTTCAGACAGAGCAAAACTAACGAGTCAGTTAATACACCCGTCAGTGCAAACACACTCACCAGTGCACACACACCCGCCAGTGCA